CATGAAATGAAGGCAGAAATAAGATATTCTTTGAAACCAATAAGAACAAAGATACAACATACCAGAATCTCTGGGACATATTTAAAGCAGTGTGTAGAGGAAAATTTATAGCACTAAATGCCCACAAGAGAAAGCAGGAAAGATCTAAAATTGACACTCTAACATAGCAATTAAAAAAAGAACTAAAGCAAGAGCAAACACATTGAAAGCTAGCAGAAGGCAAGAAATAACTAAGATCGAAACAGAACTGAAGGAGATAGAAAATTACAAAAAACCCTCCAAAAAATCAATGAATCCAGGAGTTGGTTTTTGAGAAAGAATCCAACAAAATTGACAGACCACTAGCAAGACTAATAAAGAAGAAAAGAGAGAAGAATCAAATCAACACAATTAAAAATGATAAAGGGAGTTCACGGCCCTTTAAATACAAACTACCATCAGAGAATACTATAAACACACTCAAAACGCAAATAAACTGGAAAATCTAGAAGAAATGGATAATTTTCTGGACACTTACAACTCTTCCAAGACTAAACCAGGAAGAAGTTGAATCCTGAATAGACCAATAGCAGGCTCTGAAATTGAGGCAATAATTAATAGCCTACCAACCAAAAAAAGTCCAGGACCAGATGGATTCACGGCTGAATTCTACCAGAGGTACGAGAGGAGTTGGTACCATTCATGCAAAACTATTCCAATCAATAGAAAAGAGAATCCTCCTAACTCATTTTATGAGGCCAACATCATCCTGATACCAAAAGCCTGGCAGAAACACAACAAAAGAGAATTTTAAGACCAATATCCCTGATGAACATGATGCAAAAATCCTCAATAAAATACTGGCAAACCGGATTCTGCAACACATCAAAAAAGCTTATCACCATGATCAAGTGGGCTTCATCCCTGGGATGCAAGGCTGGTTCAACTTTCGCAAATCAATAAACATAATCCAGCATATAAACAGAACCAAAGACAAGAACCACAACATTATCTCAATAGATGCAGAAAAGGCTTTTGACAAATTCAACAGCCCTTCATGCTAAAAACGCTCAATAAATTCGGTATTGATGGAGCGTACCTCAAAATCATAAAACTATTTATGACAAACCACAGCCAATATCATACTGAATGGGCAAAAACTGGAAAAATTCCTTTGAAAACTGGCACAAGACAGGGATGCCCTCTCTCACCACTCCTGTTCAACATAGTGTTGGAAGTTCTGGCTAGAGCAATCAGGCAAGAGAAAGAAATCAAGGGGAGTTCCGGTTAGGAAGAAGAAGTCAAATTGTCCTGTTTGCAGATGACATGATTGTTTATTTAGAAAGAGCTTCCCATTGTCTCAGCCCAAAATCTCTTTCAGCTGATAAACAACTTCAGCAAAGTCTCCAGGGATACAAAATCAATGTGCAAAAATCACAAGCATTCTTATACCAGTAACAGACAAACAGAGAACCAAGAATCAGAATGAACTGCATTCACAATTGCTTCAAAGAAAGAATAAATACCTAGGAATTAACTTACAAGGGATGTAAAGGACCTCTTCAAGGAGAACTACAAACCACTGCTCAGTGAAATAAAAGAGGACACAAACAAATGGAAGAACATACCATGCTCATCGATAGGAGGAATCAATATCGTGAAAATGGCCATACTGCCCAAGGTAATTTATAGATTCAATGCCATTCCCATCAAGCTACCAATGAGCTTCTTCTAAATTGGAAAAAAACTGCTTTAAGTTCTTATGGAACCAAAAAAGAGCCCGCATCTCCAGTTAATCCTAAGTCAAAGAACAAAGCTGGAGGCATCACGCTACCTGACTTTAAACTATACTGCAAGGCTACAGTAACCAAAACAGCATGGTACTGGTACCAAAACAGAGATATAGACCAATGGAACAGAACAGAGTCCTCAGAAATACCACACATCTACAGCCATCTGATCTTTGACAAACCTGAGAGAAACAAGAAATGGGAAAGGATTCCTATTTAATACAGGATAATTGGCTAGCCATAAGTAAGCTGAAACTGGATCCTTTCCTTACTCCTTATACGAAATTAATTCAAGATGGATTAGAGACTTAAATATTAGACCTAATACCATAAAAATCCTAGAGGAAAACCTAGGTAGTACCATTCAGGACATAGGCATAGGCAAAGACTTCATGTCTAAAACACCAAAAAACAACAGCAAAGCAAAAAAGCAAAAAAATTGACAAATCGGATCTCATTAAACTAAAGAGCTTCTGCACAGCAAAAGAAACTACCATCAGAGTGAACAGGCAACCTACAGAATGGGAGGAAATTTTTGCAATCTACTCATCTGACAAGGGCTAATATCCAGAACCTACAAAGAACTCAACAAATTTACAAGAAAAAAACAAACAACCCCATCAAAAGTGGGCAAAGGATATGAACAGACATTTCTCAAAAGAAGACATTCATACAACCAATAGACACATGAAAAAATGCTCATCATCACTGGCCATCAGAGAAATGCAAATTAAAACCACAATGAGATACCATCTCACACCAGTTAGAATGGCCATCATTAAAGTCAGGAAACAACAGGTGCTGGAGGATGTGTGGAGAAATAGGAACACTTTTACACTGTTGGTGGGATTGTAAACTAGTTCAACCATTATGGAAAACAGTATGTCGATTCCTCAAGGATCCAGAACTAGATGTACCATATGACCCAGCCATCCCATTACTGGGTATATACCCAAGGATTATAAATTATGCTGCTATAAAGACACATGCACACGTATGTTTATTGCAGCACTATTCATAATAGCAAAGACTTGGAATCAACCCAAATGTCCATCAGTGACAGATTGGATTAAGAGAATGTGGCACATATACACCATGGAACATCTTGAACAAGGATGAGTTTGTGTCCTTTGTAGGGACATGGATGCAGCTGGAAACCATCATTCTTAGCAAACTATCAAGAACCAGAAAACCAAACACCGCATGTTCTCACTCATAGGTGGGAACTGAACAATGAGATCACTTGGACTGGGAAGGGAATATCACACACGGGGCCTATATCATGGGGAGGAGGAAGTTGCATTGGGAGTTATACCTGATGTAAATGGCACGAGTTGATGGGTGCAGCACACCAACATGGCACAAGTATGTAACAAACCTGCACGTTATGCACATGTACCCTAGAACTTAAAGTATAATAATAAATAAATTAAAAAAAAAAAAGAAATCACTAAAAAAAAAAAAAGAAATCACTGAATTAAATCAATGTTAAAATCTTTGTTGTGATATTTTATGGTATTTTACAAGATGTTACCTTTGGGGGAAACGGGGCTAAGGGTTCATGGGCTATCTGTATTATTTCTTATAACTGCATGCAAACCTAAACTTTTCTCAATAAAAACTTCAATTTAAAGAATAACAGGTTTCAAGATCTCTGGGTCTCTTTTCTTAATCACACAAATTTTGCCTCCCTTTCTCAGGGCTACAAATACACATTATCATACTCCTCAGTGTTTTGTTTTTGTACGGCAATACAGCTTTATTCTTTTGTAATTCAGAACGTCATGTTATTACTGATGTTTTCAATCATTTTTGGCTACTCCCTCTGGTAAACAGAAACATACAGGTCTCTGTGAGAAAATGAAAATGAATGGAAGGATTAAAAATTAGAAGCACCACATCCACAACAACATGTATTTAAAAAAAAATAAAATTTTTGTTATGGCCATTCTTGCAGGAGTAAGGTGGTATCACATTGTGGTTTTGATTTCCATTTCCCTGATAATTAATGATGTTGAGCATTTTTCCATATGCTTGTTGGCCATTTGTATATCTTCTTTTGAGAACTGTCTATTCATGACCTTTGCCCACTTTTTGATGGAATTGTTTATTTGTTTGTTTTTTGCTAATTTGTTTGAGTTTCTTGTGGATTCTGGATGGTAGTGGGAATGTAAACTAGTTCAACCACTATGGAAAATAGCGTGGAGCTTTCTTAAAGAACTAAACGCAGCTCTACTATTTGATCCAGCAATCCCACTACTAGGTATCTATCAGAGGAAAAGAAGTCATTATACAAAAAAGATACTTACACACACGTTTACAGCAGCACAATTTGCAACTGCAAAAATATGGAACCATCTCAAGTGCCCAGTTATCAAGGAGTAGATAAAGAAAATGTGGTAGGCATATACCATGAAATACTACTCAACGATAAAAAGGAACAAAATAGGTCAGGAATGGTGGCTCATGCCTGTAATCCTAGCACTTTGGGAGGCCGAGGCAGGCGGATCACAAGGTCAAGAGGCCAAGATCATCCTGGCCAACATGGTGAAGCCCCATCTCTACTAAAAATACGAAAATTATCTGGGCGTTGTGGCGCACGTCTGTAGTTCCAGCTACTCGGGAGGGTGAGGCAGGAGAATCACTTGGACCAGGGACACGGAGGTTGCAGTCAGGTGAGACTGCGCCACAGCACTCCAGCCTGGTGACAGAGGGAGACTCCGCCTCAAAAAACAAAAAAAAAAAATTGGCGTTGACTGCAACATGGTTGGAAGAGACTGTTATTCTAAGTGAAGTAACCCAGGAATGGAAAACCAAACATTGTATGCTCTTACGCATACGTGGCAGTTAAGCTATGAGAACGCAAAGGCATAAGAATGATACATTGGACTTTAGGGACTTGAGGGAGAGGGTGGGAGGGGAGTGAGGGATAAAAGACTACACACTGGGTACAGTATACACTGCTCGGGTGATGGGTGCACCACAATCTCAGAAATCACCACTAAAGAACGTATTTACGTAATCAAACACCACTTGCTCCCTAAAAACCTATTGAAATAAAAAATAAAATTTTTTAAAATGGATAGCCAGGGATCTAAACAGTCCTCATTTGCCTCCTGATCAAGAGCCTGCAGTGATCTTAGGCACAAAAAGTGTTGTCCATGCCTTTCCCTGGCCATAAGAAAAAAAATTAGAAGAAACAGAACTCTAATTATTTTAAATGCCCTGTACCTTATTCACTGGGTTTCTTTGTTTGTTGAGACCTCCAGAAACTGTCTCTGGGGCATAAACATCGAAAATAATACAATCGACTCCACACAGGGCCTTTGCAGTTCAATACACTCCTCTGCAAGGACATCACTGCAGTGGCCTGAACCATTTGTTTCATCCCTGGAAGGCAAACCTTACATTCATTAGTATTGATTTATCCATCTGGAAATGGCAGCCACTAATTTTAATCATTGCATGACATGTAGCTTTTTGCAATTCAGTGCTGCCTTTTCCTGGGTCACTGCTCTGAGAATTTCATCACCATCATACATCACTATATCCTGACATACATTACTTTACCTTATATAGTAAAAAGTGCTCCTCAATTTGACTTTGACATTGGTTTACTTTTCCGACTTGTGATTCAAGATGGGTTTAGCTTGAGTAATTCTCCAGGCTCAAAACATATTTTGTTTCATCCATGGGACTAAAGAAAAACACTGGGTAGAGCTAGGTTTACTTCAGAAAAGAGCAATTCTGGTATGATGGAGTGACCTGAGACATCCTAGTTTTCAGGAATGCAGGGAAGATTAAGGCAGGTCCAAGTACATACCTCTTTGTCGACAGACATCAGAAGAAAATCCTAAAGGCCAAAGTGGAAGGAGAGTCATACATTATTTCCTGATTGAAGCCCAGAGACATTCTAGTGCTGGATGAGACAATGGGAGACAAGGCCACCCTTACGCTAGTCTGGGGGAACAGCTGTGGGGTTAACTTGGAAGTTTTGGGAAGACCTTCACAAGAGAGCTGTACTTATCTATCCAGTATCCTTTGCTCATTCCTCCTTGTTAATGAGAATCCAGATTTGTTTAGGGCAGCAGTGTGCCCAGCTGAAAGACAGCAAGGTGCCCAGCAATCCTTGAGACTAAATTCTAGCTAATGAATTACAAGCAGGAATTTTGGGTGAACCATATAAACATTCCTCAAGAAGGATGAACAGCAAAGTCTTTCCTCCATTTCTCCTGCTACATCTGGAACACAGATGGCTAGAGATCAGTAGACATTTTGGGTTAAGAAAATGGTGGCTTTGCACATGGGGTATAAAGGTGAAATGACAGAAGTAGTTTGGATCTCCAGTGGTCCCAGAGATGCCAAATCAGCCCTGGATCATCTCTCTCAAGGATTATTTTTCTCAAGAGGAAATCAACCTTTTTCATGTCGTATCCCTGTAACTAGCAGTGAGACAGATTTCCTAAATGAACTAGTCTCCCACACATACCACCCACTCTAAATACACATAGGCACACATACAGCCGAGGTGCCACGCATGCTTGTCCACTGACTTATATTCATCTTTTAAAATTTGAATATTCCTGAAGGAAGTAACTAATGAAGTCTCAGTTTTGTTTTTCTAGAGTCTTCTATTATTTCTTTTCTTTTTGGGAGAGGGGGGCATATGTGTTCATTTAATTCAATCACATGATTTGTAAGGATCAATTCAGTGTAATTGAGCTATCTATAACCTTAAGTATGTATCTTTTATTTATGCTAGAAATATTTCTATTATTCTTTTCTGACTATTTTCAAATATAAAGTAAATTACTGTAGTCACCCTACTGATCTACCAAATACTGGGTCTTATTTTTTCTATCAGATAAAATACATCTCTGACCAGTTGGAACAGACACCTGAGATGGACAATTGAGATAATAAATATGAAAAAGAGGAGCTGTTGGCAAAGGAAGCATAACTGTGAATTTTCTTTTAGAAGTTTTCATATTGTGACTCACCAATATGGAAAGCATGCATATTTTAATTCACAAAAATTGGAATAAAGTCAAAAGAATTAAAACAGTTGCTTGGATAGAATGTGGAGATATAGTTGAATGCTTGTTTTTTTGTTTCTTTGTTTGTTTTTTCTTTTTTGAGATGGAGTTTTGCTCTGTCGCCCAGGCTGGAGTGCAGTGGTGTTATCTCGACTCACTGCAACCTCCGTCTCCCAGGTTCAAGCAATTCTCATGCCTTTACCTCCCCAGTAGCTGGAATTACAGGCACCCACCATCAAGCCTGGATAGTTTTTGTGTTTTTAGTAGAGACTGGGTCTCACTATGTTGGCCAGACTGGTCCCAAACTCGTGACCTCAAGTGATCCAAGTGTATAATTTTAATTTATAATACTTAAAAATAACATAAATAAATTATATTTCAAATAAAGAAAACAGTCTCAATATATCTTATTGTAATTAACTTTAAAATACATTAAAATAGGGTTCTCCTTCTAGGTAAGATGAGAAAACATAACCCAGATGTAATCATTCACCTTGAACAACTAAAACACAGGACAAAATATGCAAATAGTGGTTTTTAAAACACTGGACACCAGGTAAAATAAAAAACAACACCAACAGTGACCTCTGAGAAGTGGAAAACCAGCAAGACAATCCATAGGATTACCCCAGTTTTTAGCCTAGGAGAGTCTACAGGCCATGGCATAGGGGCAGGAATGAGGGTGGAGTCCAGTGGATTCCTGAGTTTAAGGGATGGAACCAAGAGTCTGGAAAGAATGAGGTGCTTGTAATTCACAAGGCAGAGTAATGGGAAAGGCAGAGGTACACAGAGGGCCAGAAGCATGTAGAAGATCCCCCTCACGTCTTCAGTTAGATATGAAGTAATGTATACATGTGAAGAATCTGAGGCTGGGGAGAAACAAAACAGAGTTGTAACCATCAAGCCAAAATAGAAGGGAAAATTAAAATTATAAAAATGCTGATTTTTTTTACAGTTCTGACATATAAAGACTTTGGAAGTCATCACTTATCCCTACAACAAGAAGAGGCTGAACAGACAGAATACATGACTTTTCCAGAGCCTATTACAAAACTTAGGTTGCAAAGCAAACTGCCATTTTGCAGTGTGGATAGACAGTTGAATTTTAACATTCAGAGCTCAGATCTGCCTGACTGAAGACATAGACACTAGAGCCATGAGCTGGCTTACCCTGCCAGAAATGTTAAAAGAAGTTTTTCAGGGGAAATAAAGTGATATATGGCTCATATGTATATATAAACCAAAGCAAAAGCATCAGAGAAGGAACAAGTGAAAGTCAAATAAAACTTTAATCTTCCTTGTTCTTAATTGATCTAAAAGATACCTATTTGTTTAAAGTAGTAATAGTAACAATGTATTGAGTTACAAACATAGATAGTAAAATTACAGCAATTCTTGGCCTGTGGTAAAGCATAACCCTTCAGAAGGGTAGGCCAGCCTACCCAGTGGTGGGTTGATTACATCAGACTATTTCCATTACAGAGGATAGAGTTTCTTGTTTGTAGTAGAATAGACACTAGGTATGTTTGTCTTCCATTCCTTGCGATGCATCTGCTAAGACTACCACCCACAGACTAACAGAATGCCTTCTCCATCATCATGGTATTCTACAAGTGACCACTTCTGACCACAGAACATATTCCCCAGTAAATGATGCATGCCATTGGTTTAATGTTTATGTTATTTACTGGTATCACCATGTTTCCCAACATCCTGAGTAGCTGCCTTGGTGGAATGGTAGAATGGACCTTTTCAAAACTCAATTAGGTGTCAGCTGGGTGTCAACACCTTGTGGGGTGGAGGAAATAAACTCCAAAGTGTAACATATGCTCAAAATCAGTATTTAATTTATGGTGCTATTTCTCTTTATATTAGTACATTTCACGCTAATGATAAAGACATACCGAAGACTGGGCAATTTATAAAAGAAAGAGATTTAATTAGACTTAAAGTTTCGTGTGGCTGGGGAAGTCTCACAATCATGGCAGAAAGCAAGGAGAAGAAAGTCAAATCTTACATGAATGGTGGCAGGCAGAGAATGAGAGTTTGTGCAGGGAAACTCCGATTTTTAAAACCATGAGACTTAGTTACTATCACGAGGACAGCACAGGAAAGACCCACACCCATGATACAATCATCTCCCACCAGATCCCTCCCGCAACACGTGGGAATCATGGGAACTACAAGATGAGATTTGGGTGGGGATGCACAGTCAAACCATATCACTCCTATAGTCAAGATTAATTGTTCCAGGAATCAAGGGGTGGAATGAGAGGGACTCCTTTCTCTATCACCCCCTCTAATCCACTGGGAAAACTTTTGCTTCCTGTTTCTTTGACTTTAGATTCTGCTGGTCTAGCAGTCTTAAGTCCAAAGGAAGGAATGGTCTCACCTGGGGATTAAAAAAATAAATTATTCCATTGAACTGGAAGTTGAGACAGCCAGCTGGGCAGTTTGAGCTCCTCGTGCTTCTGATTCAACAAGTAAAGATGCAGGTTTTGGTACTGGCTAGGTTGGTTGATCCTGGCTCCAAAGGGAAAAGTGAGTTGCTATTACATAATGCAGGTAAGGAGTATGTCTGAAATGTGGATCATCCACGGTGTCCTTTAGTATTCTCATGTGCTGTGATTATAAAGTTGGCCGAACGAGGTGGCTCACACCTGTAATCCCAGCACTTTGAGAGGCCAAGGCAGGCAGATAACCTGAGGTCAGGAGTTCAAGTCCAGCCTGACCAACATGGCAAAACTTCGTCTCTACTAAAAATGCAAAACATTAGCTGGGCACGGTGGTGGGCACCTGTAATCCCAGCTACTCAGGAGGCTAAGGCAGGGAGAATTGCTTGAACCCAGAAGATGGGGGTTGCAGTCAGCCAAGTTTGTGCCACTGCACTCCAGCCTGAGCAACAGAGCGAGACTCCATCTCAAAAAATAAAAAATAAAAAATAAATAAAGTCAATGGAAAATTAAAACAATCCAATTTGAGCAGGACTGCTAATGGCACAGGCCCTTCCAAAATGAGATTTAGGTAACCCCATCAGGCAAGGCAATCCTGGCAAGCTGAGGTACTTGAGGAGAAACTATAAAATAGGTTGCAGAAAAAGGTATTTATAAATACCAGCTATGACCACATAAACAATTCCAAAAATAGTAACTATGTAATGAATATGTCTTTATTTTGATATAAATATGCTTACATGTATATAAATAAAATATTTTGTTTCTTTCTTCCCATATCTTTATTATCTAACAAAATGTATATTAATAATATTGATGCTGAGCAAAAGAGTCTCCATACAAAAGTGTGCATACTACATAGTAGCATTCATGGGAAATTTTTGAACAGGAAAAATTAATCTATGGCAGAAAAAAGGATCAGTACTTAGACTGCATCTGGAGCAGAGGAATTCACTAGGAAATAGCTCAAGAGATCTTTTTGTGGAGATGGAGATATTGTATATCTTGATAGCAGCACACTTTAAACAGGTGCAGGTGTATGTCTCAGTATTTTAGTTACAGAACATCAAAGTAGTATGGATCAGCTAGGAGAAGAGTAAACATCACCCCAAAGGAGAAAAAAGAAACACAAAACTTTGCAACCTTTTCTAGAGAAATGGTGAGCATGTTTTCGGTTGCAGGTGGGATATATGTTAGACAGAAGTATG